CACGCACGCACGCACGCACACACACACACACAGGCGAGGTGATGCGCCCTGCGTGTGTATCCAAAGCGTGACTTTTGCTGTCTGGGATTTGTGCACGGGAACTTTTATTTAAGATTTAAGTTTTTTTTATTTCAAAAGGTCCTCATGGCTCAGCAGCAGAAGCATAAAAATTACACTTAAGAAAGCTGATGATAAAGTTGAATAAAAATCTAAGTCTGATGAAGGTAAATTAAATATCTGACAGTGATCATTACACAGTGTGACTAATTCCTCACTTCACCATCTGTGTCGCAGCTTCACCTCTCCAAAATGAGCGTACGCATGGGTCAGAGCTGGCGTGAGGCACCGCACATTTTCACGTCAAGTTTGGATTTTATAAATCACAACCTTGGCGTAAAAAGTCGCGTACGCAAGTTTCTGGGCTCAAACTGTGCGTACGCCAGTTTTATAAATCCGACCCCTGGTCTGTACATAAGAGGAGAATCCAAAATGTGGAAATAAGTGTCCTCAGATAGGGGATGATGCAATCATGTGACTCCTGATTTGAGTGGCTTTGCTTTTAGCACAGCTTTATAGTCAGTAACATGTTTTTAGTCAATATGGTGGAGTTCATCGAGAAGGTTGGGTATTTTATAACAATTGGCTGCAAAAAAATAGTCAAAATTAATTTAGCAGGAAATAATGTTTGTTACTAGTTTCTAAAGTTAATGCAGTTGCTAAACCACTCAGCAAAATATTAGTTCCGTTATTAGCCGGTTAGCGGATGAGCAGAAGTGTGCCCACCACCGTCAAAGATTGAGTTGATGCCACCGACCTTTGCTTAGCTGAGCCATGAGAGGTCGAGCGGCTAAACACTTTCCTCTGCCTACAACTCCCAGAATGCCGTGCGGCTCTGGATCAGAGCTCAGTGAAATTATAAACACTCTATCGGACATTATTTTCTACTGATATTGATCATGTGTCTATCACGATACATAATGTTCATGATTTATCACCCAGCCCTAATCTGACATGTGACTCGTGATGAGTGGTACCGATAGGTTGAAGCACAGGGTGGATGATGGCCAGACCGCCTGGTGAGGTGACATTGAAAAGGAGGACCTGGAGGCTTTTGCCGTTGTGCTTGTTGGCTCGGCAGATGGAGTGAGTGAATTCATCCCCCCAATACAAAAAGCCCTAATGCACAGAAATAAATAAAATAAACTGGTGTTACCCAAAAATCTGCATCATTGCATCTGTTTGCATAAAAAGAGTTGTAGGACTTATTCAGGCCCGGCACCAACGTCCTCCCTAAGCAATCTAATCACACCTGGACATTGCTCAGCTTACAGCCGGTTGTGCAACGTGCCAAAATGTACATTTGCATTTAGAGTTTTTATCAGTCAGGGTGGATTTTGCTACTGGGCGTGAACGCTCAAACAGGACGTGTTAGTGCCGAGTCCAAACAGAACCTTACACTCAAGTCACTTCATCATTATTCCTCCTTAAAAAGTGTCAACGTGTCAGTGAAACTCTGTCGTACCTCAAACACAGCGAGCCCAAACAGCCGGTCCAGATAGCCGTTAGACTCCACCACTGTTTTACGGTGGCGACCATCCAAAGTTACTCTGGAAATGCTCCTCGCTCCCTGATCAAACCAGTACAGCAACTGCCGAGGCACATCTACGGAAAACACAGCGTGTTAAAGTGCAATGTACCGAGTCATGTTAAAAAAAAAAMMAAAAAAACAAAATGTGGATCTGAAGGATGAATAGGAAAAAATAGTTTACTGTAATGGTTTAAATGCAGCTTTTGTGTTAACTTTTCAAAAGAGGAAAGCTGAAATTCCCTTTATAATTCGGAAACGTCATTATTCAAATTATGAAGTAGGCTTCAAAAACACACACACACACACACGTTTGTTTCTCGACCCCGTGGGGACCTTCCATTGACTTCCATTCATGTTTTTTAGACTTTATATCCTAACCCTGACCATATACTCTAAAATTAACCTCACAGAAACTTACCTGACCCTAAAACTAACCTAAACCTTGGTCCTAAACCTAACCCCACACCTGTAACATGCATTTGGACCCGTGGGGACTTGACATTGGTCCCCACGATTCACTTCGGTCCCCACCTGGCTGCTTTTTTTTGTTAAAAATAACCCACATTGTAGGAAAAACCCGTCCACATACACACACACACACACCATTAAAGATCATTTGCAAGTTTATCAACGTTTCTGCATTTAGAGGGCCTTGTTCGTTTCTCATGCAAAACTTCTCAACTCACCCAGAGACAGCGCAGCTGGCTGTTTGATGAAGGAAGCAACCAGAACCATCCTGTTGTGGCCGTCCAAGCCGGCCCTCTCAATCTTTGGAGTGCTGCCACACTGAGCCCAGAAGAGGAACCTGGAAAAAAAACAGCATCTACTGTTAATGCAAATGCATCTTACAATACTAACTTCTAATTYAATGCTTTTCCTGTGCCCTTTTATAGTTAGCAATACTATTCTGCATTTCTAACAGGAAACTTTCCTTTAAATGTAAAAAATAAAATTAAACTTGCAAAGACCACCAAGACATTATCTTCAACTCACAAACTACAACAATACAGTTTTCAGTCGCAGGTAATAATCTTGTTCATATGTTTTGATCTGAATTTAAACAGTATCTGGGGTGGTCCTACCCCTGGAGAGGTTCCACGGCCACGGCGGAGGGCTTCTGGAGCCCGGTGATGAGCTGACGCTGGGATGAACCGTCAAGCAGAGCCACGTTAACGGAACCCATTTCTGGACTGGTCCAGTACAGAAGACTGTGGACCCAGTCCACAACAAGCCCTGAAACTGAACCTTGGACTTTCAGCACCAGATTAGCTTCCTGTGGCTTTTCATCTATGGAGATTCTGAAATAAAATAAAATAAATTAAAAACATCCAAAAGTCAAAAAATGCTCAAGACAAGAAAACGTCATGCTACTGTGAGCAAGTGGAGGCCTGTTTACCCCTTATATCAGTGGTTCCCAAACTTTTTGTCTTCTGACCCACAAAATATCCATGGCAAAAACTTGTGACCCCAAACATTACTGGTCTGAGTACACGAACTCCGTTAATAACCCTAAAAGCACAGGTTTTTGACAATCTAAACAGCTTGTACACAAATATAAATACTTATTTATACTTATTCAGTGTTTTGGTAATAGTTATGGGGAAAATATTACATCAAAAATTATTTTACTACCCTTTAAATTGATTTCTGGAGATTATCCAAGGTGCTTCATGACCCATTATTGGGTCCCAAGCCCAACTTTGGGAACCAAAGTTGCACTGGTTCCCAAACTTTTCAGCTTTTGACCCACAAAATAACAGTAGAGACCTGTGCCCCCAAATATTTTTGGATGATAAACATTTGTATCAGGTCAACTAAACATGGGCATAGTAACAATATTTTTTATTATACATTTATCCATTTTAAATACACTAACCTCACTCCTTTGTAACAACTACGGCAAAAATGTAAATTRATTCCGAAAATCTTTTCAGGACCCCACCTTGATGTTTCGGGACCCCACTTTGGGTCCCGACCCCAACTTTGGGAAACACTGCCTTAAAGGACCAGTMTCCTGCATGTTTTAGTGGTTTTTCTGCATTGACACACATAACTGATGATTGAGGACCAGAGCTGCTGAACTGCAGGGAAACATCTAGAACATGCAGGAATGTGGCCCTCRAGGACCAGGGTCGGGTCCTGCTGGTTTTAGTCAAACTTGTCCCTCAGACCCGGTTTATCAGTTGTTTGTTTTAAGAAAGTCTCTAATTTGCAAAATTACCATCATTATGAACTACAAAGAACATGAAAACCACAGGCCAAACATCTATTAATCTATGTTCGAGGGAATGAGTAAAAAGGGGTCAAAAAACAAAATAATGCAGGTTTCTGATGTATTTTTTTTTCCTTTCTTAAAATGCTCAATTTTTATATTCACTGTAGGAAGATTTTGTGCATATTTTTTCCCTCTTTACATATATATGTTTGAATAAATGTATTGTAGTGTAGCAATTTACATCTGGATGATAGTCAAATGCGAACAAACCGGACTTTGTGGTGGTGGATAAAGAACAGAGGAAAGCYGTTGTGGTGGATGTCGCAATACCAAGTGACCACAACATCAGGAAAAAGGAGCATGAGAGGAAATTCACGGTTCGGTTCGATACTTTAGTCTCACGGTTCGATATTTTTTTCGATACAAAGAAGAGAAATTTCCATGCCCCTTTTAACTTGTAATTTATTTATATTAATTATGAACATTTGTTTAACCTCAAAATACAGTTTTTTAATTAAATGTTGCTGAAACAGCAAGTTTCTCAGTGGATCTGCGCTCAAAAATGCAGCCTAGGTGGAGYAGTCGAACACAGATCCACTGATCCTTTAACACAGAGCATCTTCAGAAGACAAGTTGATAAAGTAAATTTTTTTTAAATCCGTATTGTTCGATACGGTTCGGTACAGTTCGATACGGTACATGTATTGTTGCATCCCTAAAATACTGTATATACTGTATCATCCTAAAGTTTTATACATAATGCAGAAATATTTATTGTAAACTAGATCCCAGTTTCAAAGGGTTATTATAGTGATTTAGTCTTAAATTAAAAGCCATAAATACATGAGAACATAGCACATTTATTCCTAACAAAAAAGGGAAGTACAAAGTTTTATTTTCAAGCTAATGACTAACCAAACACATTTGTTTTAAAAAACAGAACAGAAAACATGATGTATTTTAGTTTTGCTTTGTTGTTTGGAAACAAATTCTGTGGAGAAATGCTCCATGTTGAAAGTAAAAAGGTCTCTGTAGCTGCAGCAGTTAAATAAATAATGCTCTGCGTCATTTAAAGAAGCTGATAAGGTTAAAACATAAGACATCTTGGATGCAAAACTTACAAGACGAACGGCAAACACAAGAGTCAGATATGATTTTATCCTGAATTTACTTTGCAGTGTTTGATGTCCTCTTTCATGTTTTGCTCTTGTTAGCATCTGATTAGAAGTCGATCGGAAGTTTGACTAAGTGTCAACAAAAATTATGTTTTGTCATCATCTCAAAGAAAACGATGACATCACAGAGCACACAAGGAAGTGCCCGATATAAAACTATCTTCTGCTCAGAGGATTTCCAAAGTGCCCATTTTGTTTATTCTGGTGATGTTCTTATTTCAGTCTTTTATTTATCATGAAACGCAATCAGCGATAAAACAAAACTTATCTTATCTAGAAAAGTTTCAGGATGTCACTGAACAAACAGAAAGAAGGATGTTTTTGTCTTCTTTGCCGTATATCCTGCCACGACAGTGAGGTCCAACAGATAAATGATGGGGAAAGTGGTAAAAACAGCTTCCTGCTGACGTTTTAACAGAGACAGCTCCAGCTCTGCTCTCTTACCTGTAAATGGAGCCTTTTCCTTTTTGGGCCCAGAATAACGTGCGGCTAGAAGCCATGGTGGCTAYGGGGCCGGGACCGGGTGAACGTGGCGTCAGTTCTTTCAAACCAGAACTAATGAGGTTCTTCATTCGGATTTTTTTAGAAGTGGTAAAAACGAGCTGTGCAGCTTCTCCTGCAAACAGAAATATAAATGTTTTGTATTTATAACATTCACACAACTGAGATCATTTTTTTCTTCTGTATGTGTTTTGGAACATATCTTGTTCTGCAATTTTTGTGCCATTTTAACCATTTTTACATCAAACATTCAGCTCCTACAGGACAGTCYGATACTTCAGCAATTTATACTTTGAGATATTACATCTTTTTCTGTCTTTTTTTTCTCCACYGAAAATGAATAGAAATGTTTTCAACATCCTTAAAACTTTTCAAAATAAATCTTTAAATTTTTACTGTACTTTTTACCTTTTGTTCTGGTTCTGCATTTTTCCCCCACTCCTTCAAACTAATTTCAGCTTCTTTCGGCATCTATTTGGTTGATTTAAGCTTTTGTTATTTTCAATTCAATTCAAAAATACTTTGATCCCAGAGGGAAATTAGGTAATTTTTTTAAAATTAGTTAAATTAAAAATTTATTTTAGCCATGCTTCTGACCTTTTCTGCAATCCTTTTGCTTATTTCAGCCGTTTTTTCAGCTGCTTTATGCTACTTTTAGCTGGTTTCTGTGTTTTTAGCTACTTTATAGCTAAATTTACCTTTTTGTGATAATTTCAGCTTCTTACCGCTTAATTCAGAATGCATGCACTTTGTTTATTTGTGTTAATTTCAGCTATTTTTAAGCTATATTTGGCTAGTTTCTGCAATTTTAGCTTTTCAGAAAAAAATGTTAGCATTAAGCATTCACAATGCATTTTAGCAGGAAATGCAAATTCTCTAAAGGCATATTCAAATATATATTAAATTATTAAGTATATAGTAAATAAAAACATTTGTTATTATAATACTGTTTTCAGTCATTCTTGTTCAGGTGGCGACTGTCAGTTTGATAGAAACCAGAAGCTGTTATTTTAGTAAATTTAATTGTTGTGGAAATTATAACTCAAACTGTAGTAATTTTCCAAACATAAATACCACACCACTTTTATTTATAAAGCACTTTAAACAGCACAAGTCCAACCACAGTGCTGTACAGTAGACAGACACAATAGGACATTGTCAAAATACAGATAAAAATATGGAGCATTTATATTTACAGTACATAAATAACAGAGTTATGATACACGGTAATGAACTATATAAATAATATAAAACTCTAACTGTGTGGTTTTGTAAATGGGTACTGTGGTGAAATGCATTAGAAACACCACAGTCACCTCTGTTACCTGATGTTTGTAGAAATGTGTTCAGCCCGGAGGCTACTGAAAGACAATAATTAATCCATTATCAGCTCACCGTTGGCTCTGCACTCTCCGGTGGTTGGATTCCTGTGGTAGCCCTCGAGGCATTTACAGGTGAGGCTGTGATTCATGTGAACACACAGCTGGTCACACACATCGCTCTCCAGGCAAACGTCCACCTCTACAGGAATAAGCAAACATTTAAGTCTGGTGAAAAACACATGGGAGCAAAGCCTCGATACTTCACCAAAAAAAAAAAAAACAGTTTTCAATTCATCATGCTCATTTTTAAATATTAACTGGTTATAAAAATGGTTGGCATGTAAAATAAAATGACATAAAAATGAATATTTATGTTAGCAGTTAGCCGTCCCTCACCTTCACACCGGCTGTCATCAACTAGCTTCATGTTGTCCGGGCAGCTGCAGAGGAAACCAATCGGCTGGTCCACACAGTGATGAGAGCAGCCGCCATTATTGACCAGACATTCATTCTGATCCAAAACATCTGCTAAATCAAACATCTGGTTAATTGATGGGTTCTAATTATTTCAAAAACTTTGTTCTCTGAACTCAACTTCAGCGTTCCTGCTCTGTTTCTGTCTTATGATCCTGTTAGCTTATTTTACTGCCTCGCTAAATTAAGCGTTTATGTACGGTCTTATTACGTTTTGTTTTTAGCTACACTTTTGTTAAGTGTAGTTTTTAGCCATGGTTTAACCCAGCGGTTCCCAAATTTTTTATCTTCTGACCCACAAAATATCCATGGCAAAAACTTGTGACCCCAAATATTACTGGTCTGAGTACACAAACTTTGTTAATAACCCTGAAAACAAAGGCTACACAAATATAAATACTTATTTATACTTATTGTGTTTTTTGTGATAATTATAGGTAAAATATTACATCAGCAATTATTTTATTACCCTTTAAATTGATTTCTGGAGATTATCCAAGGTGCTTCATGACCCATAATTGGGTCCCAAGCCCAACTT